ATAATTGAGAATTAATCTCTGCTGTGGTATTTTTGGGGATCTTGGGCTAAAAATCTTGCATTATTTTTTAGGCTGCTTCTGGTCCTCACGTGTAAATAGGAAATGTATTGCTTTCAAAGTCAGAATGAATATATATATATGTATGTATGAATGTATGTATGTATGTATGTGTGTATGAATGTATGTATGTATGTATGAATAAAGTCATATATATTCATATACATATATACATATATATGTATATGTATATATATGACTTTATTCATTCTGTCATTTGCTCCATAAAAGCAATACTGGATAGGCACATATTCATAGCTCTGCGTGACATAATATGCCACAGTTAGAGCACTCCTGCAAGTTTTGTCTTCAATTTCGTTGTGAAAATCTCTTTAGTTTTAGGCATGGGGTGAGGAAAACCGTGTGTAATTATAGAGTCTAGATGCCTATTGGTGCATTATTTGATTTCCATGTTTCCCGAGCTCCTGTCTGGGTCTTCCACGGATCAGTGACCACTCCCGGAGGCCGGTGTTGATCAGGAGAACCGTGGGTTTAGTCAGGAGGAAGGAAAGTGCAGGTTTCCCTTTCACAAGCAGAGTTTGCCCCGGTAAGATCCAGGTGAAAGGCCTTGGCCAGCCCCGTAGTGCATTCCCGTGGGGACAGGGAAGTAGCGATCGAACCCAGCACTCCTTCTGTGAGGTGGTTTGTGCAGCAACTTTGAAGAGGATCTTTATCTTTAGTTAATTCAATTCAATTTAATGAAAGGGATCCTACGTGCCACTCACTAACCTGGGTGTTTCCAGCCATACACAAGCCTTGTACATATATACATTGCCCTCATCATATTGTAGTATGGCTAACTGTCAATAAATTTATCTCATTCATTCATTCGTTCATTCATATTCCCTGGCCCTCTTAAATAATGAGGAGAAAAATATGATCTAATTGAACACCCCCAAATTTGCACGTGCTATCTTCTAAAGGAACCGGAGTTAAAGAAGATCTTACTCATTTTCCACTTCGGTGTGGTTATATTTCTATGTTGTCTTAGGGACAAGACACATTTGGTGGCTAAGGATACAGATCTTTCCCCTCCAACTGTATCTCCCTTCAGCTTTTGTCCCCATTTATGCAAGGAAAATGCAGCGGAGTAAAAGGCCACCAGAGGGCACTGTGGGATCAGTTTTTACTGCTTTGCTTTCCTCTACAAGATTGCAATAGCAGCAGCATGGGGACAAAGGATTGAAAAAATTCAAACATAAAGGAATATTTTGCTCACGTCGTTAATGGCTTTGTTTGCATTGGAAAATCTCTAGAATAAGGAAGAACAGAAATGGTGTTTGAACTATTAGCAGAACTATCCCAGAAAAAGGTGCATGAATGTCTTTTAAATGTTACAAAAGATACTCAGCTTATGTCATAATTTTAAAAGTTAAGTAAAATAATACAAAGATACAGCTTTTCAACTACCACATTTGTGGAAAACCTACATGTCCTGCCCTCTCGTGGTCTCAAACATTGCTGGCGGGAGCCCAGGTTGGTTAGCTTTATAAGGAAGAAAATGTGGTACTCCATCTAAGATCTGCAGATACGTTTACCCTCTGACCAACTTACACAAACCTGTAGGAATTTATCCTACGGATAGACCTCTTATATAATAATTTGTCAATGCAGATCTATTATAACATCTGTAATAATAACACAAGATTTTTGAAAATCAATTTTAGGAGACTTCTACCTAAACTGATAATATATCAGAAAAACAGAAATAAAGCCAAAGATGATGAAGATGCTGTGTGTTTACTTCTATAGAAGACCTGATTTATGTTAGGTGAAAAAAGACAGTCATGTTAGTGCTAAACATTCACTCTTAAAAAAAGAATCAGTGAATAAGAATATATATATATATATAATTTGTGTTTGCTGACAAAGTATTTCCAAGGACACAAAGACCTCAATAAGTGTTGCTTTGTTGCAGGAAGTTACAGGGGCTGGGTGTCAGGGTGTGAGTATAGCTTTATTCTATGTTCATTATCATGGGAAATCTTTACCTGTTTACAGAACAAATAATTTAATATTCACGGGGGAATCATTTGGTGAGTCATAAGAAAATGTTGGGAGCTCACTGTTTTCTTTAATCACTCGAATGCTTTTGCTAAGAGTAGTGTTGTAGCTAGTAAAGCACTAATTTTCTACTTCAAATCAATTATGTCTAGTGCTTTTGGCACTTTGAAATGAATGAGGTAAAGTGTTAGCCACGCTGCTCCATACCAGGGTCCCCAAGTGGGCGGCATTCGTCCTTAGGAGCTGCTCCACACAGTTCTCGTGACTTGGCAGGGTAATTACCCCATGCGCCCTTATCACAGGCTGGTCTTCTTAATAGGCAAAGATGTTTCTGAACCCTTCCCTTACATTGCAGCAGGCTTATTCTATACATACACACTCATTGCTCTACTTCACTTATTCTAGAAACACACACTCATTTATTCACTGTACATTTGTTCAAGATCTATAGTTAGTAAACTTCCCGAGGAGATGCATTTGTCTGACATGTCCTTCCCCTTCCTTCAAGGGGCTCATGGTCGAGTAGCACAACAGCGTGGTCTCACTGCTTTGCGGGTGCCAAGTGCACACAAATGGGAAAGAAAGTAGGAAATGCAAGTGGAAAAGCCAGTAGGGAACGGTCATCTTGGCTTGAGAAAGAGCTGCGGAGGGCCTCAGGACTGTTCCACGGAGTGTAAATTAGCAGTTTTCTAGGCAAACCAGATTTAAGATAGGGGAAAAAGAAAAGTTCTTATGCAGAGGCACTTTGGGCAAAGTGTGGAGGTTTGGGAATACACAGTATTGGAAAAACTGGTGGCGAGTTCAGCATTCTAGAATATGTCTGTGTTTGTTGGTTTAGTCTTGTATTTTAAGAGGAACTCGTATTACTAACACTAAGCACTTCCTCTGCAATCTTTGTGTATTGTGCCAGTTAGTCTATCAAAACACTCTGAGGTACGTATTATCTCTTCTCTGCGGATGATTTTGAGAACTGTAAACTGTGAACATTCCAGTCACACACATCGGTATGATTAGAACTCAAACAGAAATCCTGTGCTCTTCGATATAAATGAAAGATTTTCTGGAATTTTATTTCCCCTTGCAGAGTCACTTTTTACCTTTCTCCATGTACTCTCTAGCCGTGGAAACCAGCCTGTACAGGGACAGGAATGGGCCCCTCGCCCAAGGGACTCCAGTGTGGCTGGTCCCCCAGGTAGATGGCGCCAGCAACCAGAGGGAAAGCAGCACGCAGGAGTATTTTATCTTCAGGCTTCCTCTCTGCCATCACCTTGTGCTACCTGTGACGTCTAACGCGTGACTTCCTGTCCAGGGGGCCCTGTCTGCACTCCTTACCCCTCCTGGCTGGCAGTACCCGCTCCCTGCCCTCCTCCCGGAAGGCTTGAGGAGGCACAAGCTCCACCGTACTTTCTGTTTGATTTCCCTGCCTGCAGCTCAGACTTTCCAGAACAGGCTCTTTATTAAACTCTCCTCAAATTATCCTAATTTGAAAATGCCATCTGTTTTTATATGGCACCAGATCAGCGCCCAAGAAGTTACTACTGTAATCGAAGGGAGAACTTTTGAAAGTCTGTAGGCAGGAAATGAAGGGGTGAAAAGAACTCCAGAGGATCAGAACAATGTAGATCTGAAAGGAATAATCCTCACTTTCAAGGTTTGGGAGTTTCGTGCACCCTTCATGCTGCATCGGGAAAAAAAATTAAACTGAAATAACTAGTAAGAAGATGGAACAAAATAAGTGGCTTCCAGCCTGACACTGGAATAGTTAGTGGGACTATTAGGGGGACTGGGAGAAGTCTGACTGTATTCATTGAAACACGGTGGTTATTCTCAGAGGATAGTACCAGAATGGGGTGATAATCCAAACATGCAATTAGTGGCAAGTCCACACAACCAGAGGTGAAGGGTCCCCTGCTGGGCAGATCAAGCAACAGGGAACACTGACCTTCTCAGTCCTATTTGGAAGATTAGAGAAGCAGTGACCATCAAGAATATCAGATAGGGTTGGGGATTTAGCTCAGCGGCACAGCACCTGCCTGGCAAGCGTGAGGTTGTGAGTTCAATTCCCGGTACCAGAAAAAAGAAAAAAAAAAAAAAAAAGAATATCAGATCATGGCAAGATCCTACCCCTGAGAGTTGATCCAAGTCCAAATCCTGGAAAAGGGGACCAAGGCAAAGACAAAAATGCTGGGCTGTGGAGTGTGTTGCTGCATCTCTTCTGTGTTTACCTAGAGTTGCTGAGGCCACCAGTTGCATAGCAGAGTGGACCATCGCTTGGTTAAAGGAAGGGCAAGTGGCTCTGTGAGGAGTGGAAGGTGCTGCCTGGCCCTAAAACTGGCACCAAGCCTGCCACTTTAGCGGGTGACAGAACCATCTGTTTGCATCACAAGCTTCACAGCAGCAGCACTTGGCAGTGTTTGACAAAACATCAGTGCTGCTCATCACGGTTCAAGTTAAAATGTGAAGTAGCGCAGGTATAAAGCTGATGGCACTGCATTCCTAAGTTCTGTTTCCTACTGAGCTTCAGTTTCATGGTAAAAAAAAATGAAGCAATATTTTCAACACTAACTTCTTTCTGGGTTTTAAAAAAGTTTTTGGTTTATGGTTTTCAAGAACAATATATAGAAAGTGACTTCCTAAATTAACACATCAGTTACTTAAATCGAAGGGATAGGAGTGACTGCCCTGAAAAAATATATATGACCTTTTATGAGGATCACTTTATAGGAGATAAAATATAGATGTCCCACTGACTCCTGCAGGTGCTGTATTAATCTTCAAGGAGTAAATCATAGAGGTGAAGAGTTTACGCTGCTTCCCTCGGTGTTGAGCATTCTGATTGAGTGAATGTCTTGTGTGATGGGAAAGATAATATAATGAATATCTTATTATGCCTGAAGTGACATGAAAAAAAACATGACTGACACTCTGTTTTGTTGTAGGTGGGAGTGAAAGGCACGCGGTTCCTGGCCCGCAGCGTCGCAGCTGAGGGGTGAGAGCCGCAGCATGCTGGCTCCAGCCCTGAGGGCAGTCATGGGCTTCGGCTCCAGGTGAGTACAGTGCTCGGCTGGCGGGCTCCGCGTGACGCCGAGCAGGGCACAAGGCGCGCTTCTCTGCAGCTCTATGGAAGGATTCACCCTGTAACCCCAGCAGCCCTCCTCCCTTTGCAGAGCACTGCAGCACTGCATCTCTTTAAAGAATTCTCCTATTAAAATTCCTTTGCATCCCTCACACCAATATCTATTTTCCCCTTCTCACTTAAAGTGACAGAACAGAGTGATGGACGAGGTTCCTTCTAAACCGAGCATCTGGTTGTCAGGGCTGCGTGTGAAAAAGAAGCATCAGCCAGTCCTGGGGAACAAGGGGGCGGGGCCTCTCCTGGTAATGATGCGGAGGGGTGCCACGCCTCGCTGCAGCTGGCTAAGGCCCTCGTGATGAGTCTCCTGCGGCCTGAGGCATCGGAGGACCCAAGCGTTTTCCCACTTAGCATCGGACCTTTAGAGTGGTCAAGTTACACAAGAACTCAAAAGATGACTTAACTTCTGGTTTTAAAAGTGTCAGGGGTCAACGCTGTGACACAGATTCCGTTTTAGTCATGCCTGAGTCTGTTCTTTCATGAGTCTTCGGCTAGCACGTGTGCTCAGGTAGAGACATTAATATGAAACTCTTGTGGGATAAACAGAATAACAGGCAAGAAAACTCAGAGGTTAAACAACAGCAACAAGTATGTATACTGGTCTTAAAAGCATACTATGGTTATGTATAACTCATAGAATCTCCATGGTTACAAAGATGACAAACCAACCAAGGCTACCAGGAAAGGGCTATAAAAAGACCCAAGCCTCTAATCCAGCACTTGGCAAGGCTGAGGCAGGAGGGTTGCAAGTTCTAGTGTAGCCTGGATGACTTAGCTAGACTCTGTGGTAAAATACAAAAGAAGTAAAATAAGGTTTGAGGATGAAGTTCAGTAGGAAGGTTAAAGGTAAGGTCTCCCATCCCTCAAAAAGATTACATGATAGCCAGGGATATAGCTCCGTGGCCCAAGTGCCTGCCTGGCAAGCACAAGGTCCTGAGTTCAATTCCTGGTACTAAAAAAAAAAAAGAAAAAAAAAAAAGATTACATGATAACCACTTGATCTATTTATCAGATACATTAATGAGCCTTTGACACAGGCATTTCGTATCTAGAGATTTAATGTAAGAAAAATGAGTTTCTGAAAAGTTTTAATGAGAAGGATATTGACTATCATCTGTTAAGTAGCATGAAGATTCTATACAGTACAAATATGTAATTTTAAAGAACTCACAGGAATTTTTAAATATCTATAGAACCATTAAAACCCATGCTTTAGAAGAATACTTATGCCAAGGAGGAAGGCACAGGTTTATTTTCAAGTTTTTAAAAAGAAGGTAATGGTGCATTTATAGGGCATTATTAAGATTGGCATTGTGGATGGAAAGAAGCAAAAGCCTCAGTATGATAAAGTGATTTTAGTTCTAACAGCCTGTTTTTATGTTTTCTTTAATTTTTAACTTTGTGTTTTCAGCATACATACTTTCAATAATCAGGGGAAAACCTCTTAATTTTGAAAGTGAAATCTGCAATTTATGCAATAAGCAGAAGTAGGACTACAGAAGAATAACCAGGTCATAAAAAGTCACTATATTTTGTAGAAGCATTAAAGATCAAATTACAAAATTGCAATAAAATCCTATATTTGTATAAGAAATAATATACTTACACATCATTTTATAGTAAGAAAAAATACACTTGCATTTAAGTAAATGGGAGATTATAAAAGGAAAGAAAATAAGTAAGTGTGTAGAGTCCAAAAAGAATGTATGAAATTTGAGTAGTGCTTTTAAGAGTAATCATAGTGCCCAGGATTTAGCTCAGTGGCACAGCACCTGGTGCTGAGTTCTGATTCCAGGTACCCTTCCCCCCAAAAGAGAGAAACTATACAGGAATTTACTTTCAGTGATATTTGCAAAAGTTGGTAAGTTTAATTGTGTAATCTTGATGAGCTTGGGACCTGCCCCGGGGGTTACTAAAGCACACTTCTGTGTGTGTCTGGATGAGTGATGGAAGTACCTTGGAAACTATATTGGGTCCTTCACTGTTCCTCTCGACACTCCTCCCAGCCCTTGACATAAGCATATCTCTCTACTATGACCTTTAGCCATGATGTTCCTGCATTGGAACAAGCTAAGCATGAACTGAATCCCCTGGAACCGTGAACCAAATTAAACATCTCCTCCTTTAAGTTCTGGGTGTCCAGTGTGCTGTCTCAATTATGGGAAGGCTGACTAGTGCAATACTTTTTCAATTCACACACTTTAGAAAACAAAATTCACCCTTCTAGACTCTGTGTCCTTCAGATTCATATTCTCTTTCCTCCCTCCGCTGTGTCAAGACTGAGAGAACAAAATCCTGCTTAACAGGGTAGTGTATAACCAAAGAGCTGCACAGACTGGATGAGTAGACTGGAGTCCTCCTTAATGGATAGGAGGTCAAGTTTATGAATGTAATCATGTTAAATTTCTCCCTTCCTTTTCATATCATTAGTGAATTTACTCTTAATATTCATTAATCTCTTTTCCATAGTTCTCCTCAAATAAGAACATTAAAATACAGAAGTCAACTAAGTCTAAGTAGAAACTAGAAAGATGCAGGAAAAAGTGAATACAATCCTAGGTTAGAGATGGCAACAAACCAAAGTAGCAACAGGGCATAGATTGGCTACTGGTTGACCTAAGCTCAGATATCTGTTCTGCCACACACAGAATTTGCAGCTCAAAGCATATCGGTCCCTTCAAGCTTCTGAGGCTTAAATTACTCATTTGTCCTAAATTTCCCTACTCTGAAAATCAGCTAATCTGGGATGTGTAAAAGCACCTCAGAAGTGCTCAAAGATGTTGCAAATCCGTGGGTGGATTTAGAGCACCCACCAAAAGAAGAGAAACCGCTAATCCAAGCAAAGTTTAGAGACCATAAATGGACTTGAAAAATAAACTGACCTGGAAAATAAAAAGTGTGTGTGCGTGTGTATGCACATGTGTGTGTATGTGTGGGTGTGTGTACTGTTCTTGTGTGCATCAGAGGAGAAAGAGATCACTTCTACTAAGTCAGATGCTGAAATTTTTCCTATATTCCCTTCCACCTGACATTTCCTTCAGCTATTACAAGGCAAGTTACCAACAAAGCATTCACATTCGTTATTGTCATTTCTGTGGCCATTCTCCAGACTATGCTCCAGGTTGTTCATTTTCCATTCCATAGCACTGTGTGTTCTCTGTTGCTGCTATTCTGGTGGTGGAATACCAGCTTGCTCTGGGAAGAGGATGTAGAAGCAGTAGGTGCAGAGAAGTCTTTCCCTCCTTTTCAGTTTAATGTATGCGGCCTGCCCATCAGATCTGCATGATCCAATAGTTAGTGATGGTCTGTCTTCCTTAGATCAGAAATAGAATCCTGCCCTGAATAAGAACCTGCCCTAAAGTAATGAGTGTGGCAATGTAAAGCAACTTCTTTCATAAAGTCAACTCACAAAGTAAATGTGATAGGAAAATTAAAGACACATAGTATTAAGATGGCATTAATTCCTGGATCCGGAAATTAATTCCAGCCATATCATATTACGGATGCTGCATGCTCTGAAAGTTAAGCTGTAGCTAACATCACGCAGCCATGGAAGTTACTGCCAAGAACCAAAGTACTGTTAAATTTCAGCAGTTGAGCTTATACTTGCCGAAGTACTATAATTTAGGGAATATTTTGTGAAGTGTAATAAAAATTGGAAATTGTCCGAAGATAACTCTTACACATGTATCAGTGTTCATTAGTCATTTAAGCATCCAGATCTAAAATAAATCAAAATAGATCTAATGTTCAGCACATTCAAAGCACTGTGATTTCAAAAGAATAGATTTTATATGGAAAAATTAAGGTGAATTAGGTAAGTATTAATCAAAGTGTTCCTGTTTTTACACACATAATTCAAAGAAAAAGGAAATGATCCAAAAGCAGGCTGGAACCGAGAGAGACTCTGACAATAACGCCTCCTATAAATGAAAGAAAGGTGTGATAAAGCAAAGTATCTTAATTATCTAGTACATATGTTGCACTGCACTAGATTTTTAGAGACGATACCTATGCATAAAATATTTCTGCCTACAAATAGTGTATCCTCCACCATAGAAGTTACACTATATATACTAAATGGCACATTATTATGTACACATGTATGTATTAAACTAACGATCATAGTTTTAGGTTCTAAAGAATGAACAGAAGCTGGGCATGGTGGTGCATGCCTGTAATCTCAGAATTTTGGAGACTGAGGTAGGAAGATCACTGTAAGTTTGAGGCCAGCCTGGGCTACATAGTGAGTTCAAATCCTACCTGAATTACAAAGTGACACTTTGTCTCAAAAGAAGAAATTAAACACAAATGAAGTGTGTATTGATGAAATGCATATTACTTTTTTTGTAAAACAAACAACATCTGAGTTAAACAGTTGAAAATGCTTCTTGAAGGAAGTTAGACTTGATGTAAATGAAATGGCACAGACATGCCTACAGGAAACAGAGTTTAGATGGAGGAATGGCACACATACGAAGGGTAAGTGTGAGTGGAAAGCACACGAGGAAAAGACAGTGGACAGGTTTTATCAATAAAGGGAAGAAATGAAAGATAATGCTGGAAGAAAGGACAAGGATTAATTTTTTTTTTTTGAGTCTTGATGTCAGCCCGAGGAACGGAGGTAAAAATTTATCTTATCTTTTACCTCCAGTGATTCACTACTTTTCATTAGGCTGGAACTCAATAAAGTCACATAGCAGAATGCTGTTATACATTTTTGTAACTTGATATGGAAGTACTTGATATTCGAATTGCTGGCTGAGTATGTAATAGTCACTGCCAAGTCTATAAGGGCCATGGCAGAGCTTTATTACCATAGAGCTAATAAGCAAAATTAACTTCCTATGGCATATAAAATATAAAACTAAATGAACACTTCTTCTACCTTTCAATATTGTTATTTTCTACATC